AAGAGAGCTTTTAGCACTATGTAGGGCCCAATTGAAAAAAAGAAAAAACCTTCAAAACATCCCTTTGGGTCGTTAAGAGCAAGAATTAAGGCAGTGGCCCTATGCTCAGTGGTTATGGAGTAGGAGCCCACACGGCTGACCACAGTTCAAAACCCAGCCCCAGCAGCTTGAAAAATATGCTGTGTCAGTATGTGTGCTGCAAATCCCAGCAAGATGGAGAAATGGAGGAGAAGGAGTTGTGGTATGACCATGTCCCAATGAGGGGTTGGTTGTCTCTCTGTCTATCTCTGAGGTGAGCACACATGCCCTCTGGTATTTAAAAAAAAAGAAAAAGGAAAAGAATTAGGGGTCTGAGGACTGCCAGGTAAGACGTAAATGTCTGGAGCTTAAGGGGATCAAAACTCTCAGACCTAGACTTGTCCAATCTCTATTTTCTGACATCACCCCAGGTCTCAGGGATTGGATCCCAAGGGAAGAGTGACCCCTATGGCATTGTGAAGCTTACCACCCTTCTTTTCTTTTCTCTCCTTTTCCTTCCTAAATTTTATTCTCCTTCTGATTCTCAGAGCTGCTGAATTCCCTGGTTCTTCTTCTCCCAGGAGCATGTCTGATAGGGACAGGGACCTCAATGGCCCAGTACTACTAGGGGCCAAAAGGGATGACCCTGTTGACAATAGTCACAGCCCCATGATGAGGCTGTAAATAATACCAGCTGTGCTGGGAGCCATGCTAAATCCTTAAGGTAAGATGGTATTCATTTACTCTTCCTAGCAATCTCTTATCTTGAGCTTTATCATCCTCCCCAAGCTACAGATGGACTAAGAAGAGCATTTCTTACAGATGGTTGTGAGGATTACATGAAGTCAGCATTATAAGGGATTTCATGTGCAGCTGGAGTGCAGAAAGAGTGCAGTGAGGTTATCCATCGTCATCGAGGTAGAGATTCTGGTAGGTTCTTTGTGGCTACTGCATTTCTGTTTGATCTCCCACATGGCCAGGCTCCAAAGGGCTATCTTCTGGGCCTTTCCAAACTGAAGGCCTCCATTCTTGGGTGGTCTTCCCCTTGATCCAATGCTGCTCTCCACAGTGATAGGCCATGAGAATCCCATTGCCTGGTGAACTCACCGGAAAGCTCCCCAGCTGCTTCCCCAGGTAGAGGCATGGGCATCAGGCATCCTCAAGTTCCCTCCTTCCCCCAAGGAACACGGACCACAGGCA